GGAGAATTTGGTGGAAGGGGTAGATACTTTCAAGTTATAAAGAGCAAAAACCATGAATGATCAGTATACAAATAATGGAAAGTAGAGCACACACCATTTTGCGTATGGTTTAGGTAGACAATTGGTTTACAAGTAGGAGATTTAGTCATTTGTGGTTTAGTCTTGACCTTCCATGATGATCATCAATGGTTATACCGGGGCGTACCATATACCGGACAACACCGCCTGTGCATAACATGCTTCCGGTCAGATTTGAGGGTCAAGGACTACAATACTTGGCATGGAAAAACAATTTCTAGTCTCTACTCTGCATCACCACCTTCTGTTTTGTTGTTGTTCTCATATGGAAGGACTTTAGGTGCATTTCTAAAGAAAAAGTTTATATAGGGCCAAGGCTCCAAACAATCAAATTTGGGCCACCTCAAAAATTTCATTAGAAGATGTTGTTTTGATGTCCAAATATTTGATCATCTAGACATCAAGTTGAATGGACATGAGAAAAAAAAATGGATTTCAAGTTTTGGAAGTAATTCATCTTATAATGTATTTTTGGACTTTCAATTTTCAAGATTTTTAAGTGTTCATAGATCTGCTTGATCTACACTATTTTTGAAGTTTTACATTTTATAATTAAAGATGAAAATATATTTTAAGGCTATCACAAAGATTTCCAATATTGAAACCACATTTATCAACACTATTTGAAGGTGTGCTTTGCTTTAATTGTTTAGAGTCTCGGCTCTATACAAACCGCACCTATTTCTAAAATCCTTCGAAAAAAAAGTTTTTAAAATATAAATATTAATGTTAAAATAAGTTGTGAATGATAAATTTACTAACTAGAGGGCTTTAAAAATAAAAAATAAAAAAAAAATCACTTTTTATGGTAACTTTCTCAGCAAGTAAAAGTGTTATATAATTGGGTGCAGTTTGTACATAGCCTAGGCTCTAAACAATCACATTAGACCCTACCTTCAAATAGTGTCGAGAAATGTGGTTTCAATATTGGAAATCTTTGTGATTACCTTAACAAATATTTTCATATTTATTTATAAATTTAAAAGCTTAAAAAATAGTGTAGATCGATATATCTATGAAAACTTAAAATTCTTGAAAATTGACGGTCAAAAATCACGTTACAAAATACACTATTTCCAAAACTTGCAATCCATTTGTTTCTCATGTCCATATGTATTGATGTCGAGATGATCAATTTGCAGATATTTAGGCATTAAAACAACCTCTTTTAATGAAATTTTTGAGGTAGGCTCAAATTTGATCATTTAAAGCCTCGACTCTGTATAAACTTTTCCCTATATAATTATTATTGAAGGGCAATAGGTACTTCTATCTTTCTAAGCGTAATATTGAAATTTACACTAAAGAACATGGATATTATACAATTTAAGTTTTAAGATACTAAATTCCAAAATACTATTGTATTTTATAGAAACTTCAAATTTACTCTTAAATTACTTGCAACAAATATTTTTTTAAACGAAAAATAATAATTCTTGATGAATACACCCATTATAACCCAATACAAATATTAATATTAGAATATGTTTTGAAGGGTAAATTTGTAAAAAATTTATTACTTTTTTGTTTAAAATTTATTCTTAATAGATCATTTAATTATTAAGTAAAAGTGTACATGGTACACATAGTATTTCACAACAATGCAATAATATTTTAAAATTTAGTATCTTAAAATTTTATCACTATATATATATATATATATATATACTTGAGGTTCTTGAAAATAGATGTCCTATATAATATTTTACATGATTATTATTTTTAAGACTTTGAAATTTTTTTTTAAGGGTCTATAACTTTGTTTTAATAGAGCCCGTAGGATACAAATGGGATGAAATCCTAGGGTTTTTGTCGTATAATGACAACCGGAAGCAGGGTAAAAAATTAAGAGAAGTTCCCTATTTACATGTGTACCAAAGGAGTGGATTCCATGCTGTACTTCCGTGTTTAGAACGTCTCTTGCACTTTTATAATAGTAATCAATAAATTAAAAATAGTGTGCGGTTTCTATAAGGTTGCAATCTTAAACCATTCAATTAAGGCGCACTTTAAAATTTTATCTTTGTTGTAATTTTTTTTTTAGTATTATCTTCAAATCTATTTTCAGACATAATTAGAAATTTTTAAAATTAAAAAATGGTTAAAATCAAATAGATCTATAAATATATGAAAATCTTAAAAATGGACGCTCTAAATAATATGTTGCAAGATGCATTATTTTTGAGACTCAAAAATAAATTTTTTTTTTCATATTCATACATCTCGATGTCGAGATGATCGATTAGAGGGTTTTTTCAACATTAAGAAAACATTTCTGATAGATTTCTTGAGGTGCATCTATGATTCTATATTTAAGGTTGCAACCTTATTAAAACTTTTCCAATATAGGGTTCTATTGATTTTTAGTAAGTAAAAAGTTTATATGAGGCCCTAAAGGATCAAATTAAGGCATACCTCAAAATTTTATTAAAAGAGGTTGTTTCAATGCTAAAAAATCCTCAAATCGACCATCTCGATCTCAAATGTATGGACACAAGAAAAAATCGATTTCAAGTCTTGAAAATAGTATATCTTGTAATATATTTTCTAGACCATCAATTTTTATGATTTTTAAATATTTATAGATATGGTCGTTCTATACTATTTTTGAGACTTGAATTTTATAATTAGAGGAAAACAAATTTTCAGGTCATCATAAGATTTGATGTAATAAAACAGCACTTTTTGACACTATTTGATGGTATGACTTTGATTGTTTACGGCCTCAGCCTAATACAAACCACACCCCTAATCTTTTAGTCTTCCACATAAAACAAGGGTGGCATTAAATGATCCATGTTACCACCCACTGTTTTGGGTGGATTACTAGAACATAAGGGTTTCAAAATAGCCCGTGACTTGGTGGACTACACCAAGGTACCAAACCTTGGCTTCTATCAAATATTTTTTTCATGTCAAATATCAAGCATTCACACCTAAATGAGAACGTGAAGGAAATAAGCAGAGCCAGAGTATCATATTATGTGCTCCTGCCAGAGCATATTGTATACTAACTCCTTTGCATAAAAACCCTCTGTTATGACCAATTTTAGGGAATATAACCTCCTCAATCAAGTGACTCACTTCTTCCACTAGAAAAAGTGAACTTATAATCTATTTGAGAAAATGGGTATGGCCGGTCTTTCCTAGTAAATTTACCTCAAAAAAAAATAAAAAATAAAAAATGAAAAAAAATTCTCTAGGGACTCTATTATAAGTGCTCGAAAAGAAACTTACAACCTTAGATTGGATTGATTGGTCAAATTTCGGGACTCTATTATAATAGGGACTCTATTATAAGTTCCACAAATTTTTTTTTTTTTAAATTCTCCATGATTCGAAAGTAAATCCTAAAAGTTTAACACCGAAAAGATTTTTCTAGGTAAGTCTTTTACATGTAAGAGAGTAAATACATAATATACTACCGCAGGAATACTCAGATCTACAATATTTTACTGCATGAAACATGGAGGCAATGGAGGGATTCGATTTCACGCCCCATTTATTTACCAGCCTGGGTGGCCACAAGTTGGTCCTGGTCCGGGCTAGCATTGGCTCTGGCCTTACCCTTGTCCCCATAGGACCGACCCCAGCTCAACCAAAGACAAATGAAGAAAACAAAAAAAGGAAAAATAAAAGGATAAATTGAGGGCTGGACCGGGCCGGGTTTGGCCCTAGCATGGCCTTCGGGCTACAATTTGTGACCCAAACCCTACTTTTTCAGAGCTGGGCTAACCAGATTGGATTGATTGGAGCCGGGCCCAGCCCAATCAAACATAAATGAATAGAAAAAACCAAAAAATAAAATGAGGGCTGGACGGGGCCAGCTTTGGCCATAGGGTGGCCGTCGGGCAACAATTTGTGGCCCAAGAAAGATGGGCTCACCAGACCGGGCCGGGCCGCTGCTAGCTGCGCCCCAGTCCATTGCCAGCCTTTAGAGATAGGAGAATATTGTGCGGGAGAGGTAAAAAAAGAAGTAGAAATGGGGCGGTCGACTAGTAAACCAGCAATTCCTGCGTGCGAAGTCCGAGGGAAAAGGTCCCTTCCCTCTTTTCCTGCGGATGCTCATCTCAGCACTTAGTACTCCTCCGGTGCAGTCTCTCTCTATCTCTTGCATGCTCATCCTCTCCTTAAAGTCTTTCTCTCTGTGTAATCTCAGTCCTTATTGATCATTGCCTTTTGTAAACTCCCTCTCTCTTTCTTGCTCGTAATCTATGCACATATGATTGGCCTTTCGATTTCTCGTAATGAGGTTTTGTTCAAAGAATATACCTTATTCTATCCTGGGTTTGGATTTGGGGTATGTTGGGTGGGACAAAATCGGGTTTTCTCTTATATTCACTATGTTTCTTCCCCATGAAGGTACTGATACAGACTCTCAATCATTGAATTCCTAGTGGTTTCTTCTAGTATTAACTTTATTCTAGACTTTACCATTTCACTTTTTCTTGCCCTTGTTCTAAATTTGGGTTTTGAATCTTGTGTTGTGCGTCTTGGTATAATTTGGTATTATTAAATCTTGTTCTAAATTTGGGTTTCTGTTTTGTCCTGAATTCTGGGTTTTTTAAGTTTAAGTCTGTATGTGTATATTCTTTCATCTTCTGTCAAATCTTGATTTTTCTTTCTTTTCTAAATTATAGGTCTGCGCTTTTTTATTTTTTTTACTTTTATTTTTGAGATTTTGGATCCCAAGTTTTTTCTCTAGAGCCTGTTAGCCTGTTAGTATCGATTCTTGTGAATTTTACTGGCTTCTTAACATATTGGTTCTGTTTTGTTCTATCATACTGATTTTTCTTTCTTTTCTGAATCTTACGGGCTTCTTATCATATTTGAGCTCTGTTTCGATTTGAGCTCTGTTTCCAATTCTTATTATGTTAAAAGCCACTGAAATTCTCGAAAGATTACTCAAAAGGAAGTCAGAGGACTCTGAATTTGTAGAGGAAGATTTATCTCCACCACCATTCATTAAGCCAAGATTTGGTGACTTCGTATTTGGAGCTGAAAACCAAGGTGGGGTTGAATTAGAAGAGACTAAACATGATGAAATGAGTGTAATGATTTCATTAGATGCATTGGAGAACAAAAGAGATGTTGAAATGATTGAGAATGCATTGGAGAACAAAAAAGATGTTGAAATGATTGAGAACCAGTGCATTTTGAGGGACCGTGATTCTAGTAAGACTAATTGGGTTGGTACCAAAGTCAGCGAACAAGAGCTTCAATGCTATCTCTCTGAAGATTATCAAAATTCTTTAGAGGAGAGCATAGAATCATTTATTTTGGACCAATCTTCAAAATTAACCGAAAAGGAAGACAAAAAGTTGATAGACAAACCAGACTCTTCAATTGATAGAAATTTGCAAGTTGGGGTCTCAAATGAGGAATCAAGTAGAGCGAATAGCAATACCCAAATGCTCCATTTTTTTGTTCGAACCAGTTTGGATGGCCATTGTCGAACCCTGGTGCTCCAAGCCATGCCAAACGATACCATTAGGTCAGTTCACGAACAAATCTCAATGAAGACAGGCATACCTGTAAGTGAGCAACGCCTGGTATATCACAGGAAGCAACTACATTGGGATCACACACTCCAAGATCATGAAATCCAAAGTGACTCGACACTTCAATTGGTGGGGCGAATGAGGAGCTCTTGTGATCCCCATTCATGGATGCTCGTGTGCGACTTGATATCTACGATCTCTCAGATGCGAGCCTTGGGCCACCACAATATGTTTCTCGAGCACAGTCTTGTCTTCAAGATGAAGACCTTTTTGAGGATGGCCTCTGGCTCTGAGACCCCACTATCTAAACAGACATCACCCTCGGTTTATTCACCAGTCTCAAACCATATGAGGGTCTTTCAGGTTGCTGGTGCACCGGCTGCTTTAGTCACACTCTTCTTGTCTGAGATAGAGGAGTACCGAGAGTGTGCTAAGCGGGCAATCTCTCTTTTCTTTAACTCTAAATATTTGCCTGAAGAAGTTAATGGGTATTGTGCTCCTGTGCTTGTGGAGTTCTGTAGGCTACTTAGAAGGACCACATGTGACCTTGGTTTCTACAATGAATGCCGCCATTTTCTTGCTTCTTTGCTTGAGTCGAATGGTGATTGGGCTTCATATTTTCGTGACGAGAGGGCTTATATTATAGCAAGGGAGCTTTCTCCCTTTGTGTTCGAGCTGGCAGGTAGAGTATCAACATGTTTAGATGAGGCACTTCAATTGACATCATTTCCTATGACATTAGTTGAGGAGGCAAAGGATCTTTCGATTTTCTTCATCGCATTATGCAAAGCACTGGAAGAGTATGGGGATATGGCCATCTTTGTCTTTGAGATGCATTCCTCTCTAGAACACAAGGCTGAGGTAGGTTCTTTTCATTGGTTACATGCGACTTTCAATGAGCTATTGGGGAAGATTGATAAATGCCTAGAGTCAATGGAGAAATCTTTGGTCACACTTGGGAAAGAATGTGCATTTTATCGCTCTGCATGCACTTCGTATCTTGTTGCTTTGAAAGGTTTGAATGAAGTCTCTAAGCTCTTCAAAGGTGCCCGAGATTATCTTCTTTATGTTTTAAGAATGCGGAAAAAGATATTGAATGACCTTGTTAAGCATTCAAAGCAATGCACTGATCACGTGTGGCTCCTCCTTGAGCATAAGGACCTCATTGATTTTGATCCAAAGAGACGGCTATTGCTGTCAATGCTTCCAGAACTCAAAGAGGACAATGATGAGCGGTATGAGATGCTCATTGAGAGAGGACAATTGCTAACATCATCATATGAGTACATAGCTAAAGCAGACCGTCATGAGATACAAAAAGGCCTTCTTGTGGATTTCAAAGATGAGGAAGCCATTGGTCCTGGGGTTGTGCGAGAATGGTTTCGTTTGGTCTCTCATGGGATCTTTGATGCACGAAACAGCCTTTTTCTGCAATGCCCGAATGACCGCCGAAGGTTCTTTCCTAACCCCGGTAATGCTTTTTCCTATTTATTTCACATGTTTGTCCTTTGTAGAGTTCTTATTCGACCAATTTTATTGATAATTAACATCAAATTTCCTAGTTTCTTGGAAGTCTTAGTTTCTGAATATGTTTTGCTCTTTCCTATCTTTCGATGATTTGTATCTCAACTTGGCTATTCTTAGTTTCCACATATGTAGTGTATTGGATTGAGTTGACAGAAATTATTGAATGTTATGGTGTTAGATATCTACAAACAATAGTGGTTATATGGTGTTAGATATCAGACTTCAAAGAGATTTTTTTTCGTCTGAGCAGGAATCTCCTCCTACACATTGCTTTCTTTGATTTAGGATGTTTAGTTGCTTCAGCATTGTCATGGTCTGAAACAGAGTTAATTAGTCGTGGAAGATCTGATTGGCTAGTCCCAATGTATGGTAAGCAACAAACTTCTCAATGGGATGAATTCCTCTTTTTCCATCAGGATTGGGCGACGATGAAGGATGGAGCGTAATATGGGAAGATGACTCTCTGGGTTCAAATCTTGGCATATTGTGACATGGCTTTTTATTTACATCTCGTATTCTTCAGTGGGGCACTCCTCGTAGAGTCTGTGAATAGGATTTTTGGTGCTTTCGAGCAGCAAGTATTCTGATGGGCTGTGGGTTTGAGGACACTCATGTGCAAGTATCATTTGGTGATAAGTGCACCATGACACATTAATTCGATCCCATACCTTTATTCTACTAATTGGTGTTTAAGAGGGATCTTGAACATCATTGAAGATGGAACTCTAAAGAATGCCCAAATCAGAGTAGCAGAGCTCTTTTGTTGACGTTGGGGCAAGTAGATTAAGGGAAACACATTTTATAGACTTGCATCTGGTAATCAGGGAAAATACGTTATCCCACTCTTGTGATGATATCATAATGCATATACCCCTTTGTTGTAATGGGAATAATCATGGAAAACATATTGTTTGGATTTTGTAAATATTTTTCCTCAAGTTAATCTCAGGTAACTAATCATTGAACACCCAAAAACATGAAGGTAAGAAATGCTTGGTGTTGTCCCCGTAAAATTTTTCTATAAGCTAAGCTACAAAGGACTGAAGTTAATAGAGAAAAAAAAGTTACAAGCACTGAATGAGTAAGTGATTACT